GCCTCGTATTGTACGGCACTGGAGGAGCCTCTCCAGCTTGTGTTTGGGGTGGACATCACATCCGCCCCGTTCCGTACGCTTCTGATGTTGTTTCATCTCCGGCCTGCTCATGCACCGCCGGAGCCATCCTGATCCTTGATCAGGGTGCTCTTTTATCCTTCCTCTCCTCAGTTTGTGGTAGCCCCTTCAGTTCAAGATTGTTTTTCTAAGGCTATACCTTGTTGGCATTGGCCTTTGTGGCTCGGGTCGGGGAGCTTCTGGCTTCCGGCACAGAGGTTTCTGCTCTTTTGGTACTATGGTAGGTTTGTACGCTTGCAGCCCTTCTCCGTCCTTCTGGCGACACAGGGAATAGATCAACTGACAGCTGAAGCTTACAAGGTCTGCTTGAAGCACGTGCCTGTGAGGAGGGGCAGAAAGAGGTCCACTCTATTAAGAGAACTCAGACGACTGTACAAGAGAAGGAAAAAAATTATGGAAATGCTTCGGCAGACACAACTATCACAAGCAAGGAAAATAAGCCTAAGCAGGGAGATCGAAGAAATAGAACAAACGTTGAAGCGATCATATGAGTCTGAGGAAATGGAATTGGAACAAAAAGCTATACAAGAGATAAAGAAAAATCAAATATTTTTTCACATACGCAAAATCAAAATAGAAAACCTCGACCAGTATTGGACCGTTAATTACAAATGAAGGTACGTACACAGGACAAGAAAGAGATTAGTGAAATTCTAAGAAGCCAGTATGAGGCTATGTTTAGCACACCAATAAACAACCTGAAAGTTGATGACCCAGACAGCTTCTTTATGAATGACATTCAAGCTGCAGATAATATAACGGATATTACCACAAACTCGGAAGACTTTGAAAGAGAAATTGACAATATGCCTATGCACTCAGCTTCTGGGCCTGACTCATGGAATTCAATATTCATAAAGAAATATAAAGTACCAGTAGCGAGAGCACTCAGCATAATATGGAGAAAGAGCCTAGATACAGGGGAGATACCAGCAGCACTTATATCTGCAGATATTGCTCCTCTGCACAAGGGGAAAGTAAAGCCTTGGCAAAAAATTATAGGCCAGTTGCACTAACATCACACATAATAAAAGTATTTGAAAGAGTGATTAGGAATCAGATTTCTAGTTTTATGGAAAACAATGAGTTGCACAACCCAGGACAACATGGACTTAGAGCGGGAGTATCCTGTCTGTGACAGTTACTCAACCAACATATTATGCCAAGACTGTCAGTAGTTTCAAAGCGTTATATGACAAAGAGTGCTGGGAAGACGGGACACCACGAGCGTAGCTCTCATCCTGTAACTACACTTAGGTAATTACACTTAGGTAATTACTATGACAAAATTACAGAAGCTCTAGAAGAAAAGCAAAATGCAGATGTTGTATACACAGACTTTGCAAAGGCGTTCAACAAATGTGACCATGGGGTGATAGCACACAAAATGAGGTCAATGGGAATAACTGGTAAAGTAGGACGCTGGATACTCAGTTTCCTGTCGAACAGAACACAAAGAGTAACAGTCAATCAAATAAAATCAAGTCCAAGCGATGTTAAAAGCTCTGTACCTCAAGGTACAGTCCTTGCACCATTACTGTTCCTTATTCTCATATCAGATATAGACAAAAATGCATGTCACAGCTTCGTGTCATCCTCCGCAGATGATACAAAAATCAGCATGAAAATTACCTCTGTTGAAGACATTGACAAATTACAAGCAGATGTCAACAAAGTTTTCGATTGGGCAGCAGAAAATAACATGGTGTTTAACAGTGATAAATTTCAGGTACTCAGGTATGGCAAAAATGAGGATCTGAAACTTAATACAGGGTACAAAACACAATCGAATCTTCCCATAGTAGAAAAACAATATGTCAAGGATTTGGGAATAATGATGTCTGACGATCTAACGTTTAGGGAGCATAACCAAGCCAATATTGCGTCGGCCAGAAAAATGATCGGATGGATTACGAGAACTTTCAAATCCAGGGATCCCATCACAATGGTTGTACTCTTCAAGTCACTTGTGTTGTCCGGTCTTGAGTACTGGTCAGTACTCACTTCCCCCTTCAGAGCAGGAGAGATTGCTGAAATAGAGGGAATACAGAGAACATATACGGCACGCATAGACGAGATAAAACACCTAAATTATTGGGATCATCTCAAAGCTCTCCAAATGTACTCTTTAGAAAGGAGACGAGAGAGATACCAAATAATATACACGTGGAAAATACTGGAGGGCCAGGTCCCAAATCTACACAGTAAAATAACAATGTACTGGAGTGAACGATATGGAAGAAAATGCAAGATTGAACCAGTGAAGAGCAGAGGCACAATCAGAGAACACTGTATAAACATCAGAGGTACGCGGTTGTTCAACGTCCTCCCAGCGACTATAAGAAATATTGCCAGAACAACCGTGGACATCTTCAAGAGAAAACTGGATTGTTTTCTAAGAGAAGTTCCGGATCAGCCGGGCTGTGGTGGGTATGTGGGCCTGCGGGTCGCTCTAAGCAACAGCCTGGTGGAACAGACTCTCACAAGTCGAGCCTGGCCACGGGCTGGGCTTGGGGAGTAGAAGAACTCCCAGAACCCCATCAAGCAGGTATCAAGCAGATAGTCGTGACGGTTGCTTTCTGGAGGGGTTCTTGGGTTTTTGATGCTTGGTTGGTTCGGCCAGGGGTGTGGAATGTGTTGTCCAGTTGCGGATCTTCGCCGTTACCTGCGTTCTGTGGCTGGGGATACACTTTGGGTTGATCCGGTTCCCCCTTGTTCCCTGTTCAGGACTCGGGGTCTCCCAGGTCATCCGCAGTTTTCTTAAGTCTACCAGCCTGCAGTCTGTCCTTTGCGCCCGTGCCGTTCAGACATCTGCAGCTTTTGCTGTCGTGTTTGGTGACGTCTTGGGTTCATTTCAGGCACGAGGATTTAGGGGTCGCACAGGTTCCTGGCCGCACGTTCATTTGTGAGCGTGTCTGCTCCTGAGCGTTCTTGTGTTGCTTTGGGTTGCAGGTTGCTGCCTATTGTCTCGACTTTGGTTGCAGAGTTTGTGGCAGCCGCCTCCCGGGTCAGCCCTTTCTTTTCCTTCTCCTTGGGTATGAAGCTCCAGGGAGTCGTAGGGGCTCCCCACAGAAAACCAGGGTTAAATGTAATGAAACACCATTTTCTGGATGAGCCCCAGAGGCTCCCTGGCAACCCTACCTCCCACCAGTTTGTGGTTTTTTCGCGTTGGTTGAAGCTTAGCTTCCGAACTGGTGCTAGGCAGCCAGCGCGGTGAGGTCCGGGGACCCCCCTCCTCCTGTCAGGGTGGGGAGGGCTACCTTACCTTGAGGTTACCTTGAGGTGCTTCCGGGGCTTAGCGTCCCCGCGGCTCGGTCGTCGACCAGACCTCCTGGTTGCTGGACTGATCAACCAGGCTGTTGGACGCGGCTGCTCGCAGCCTGACGTATGAGTCACAGCCTGGTTGATCAGGTATCCTTTGGAGGTGCTTATCCAGTTCTCTCTTGAACACTGTGAGGGGTCGGCCAGTTATGCCCCTTATGTGTAGCGGAAGCGTGTTGAACAGTCTCGGGCCTCTGATGTTGATAGAGTTCTCTCTCAGAGTACCTGTTGCACCTCCGCTTTTCAATGGGGGTATTCTGCACATCCTGCCATGTCTTCTGGTCTCATGTGATGTTATTTCTGTGTGCAGGTTTGGGATCAGCCCCTCTAACATTTTCCACATGTAAATTATTATATATCTCACCCGCCTGCGCTCAAGGGAGTACAGATTTTACAGATTAGGGCTGCGCAGACAATCGGCACAGCATTAAAGTGTGATGTTTGCTTGTTTCCTTGAGTTTGTAGGGAGTTTCTACCTCTCTGTTTGGTTTTTGTTGTAGTTTCTTACCATGTGGGGTTTGTTTTGTTACGCCTACCTTTCTGGGTGCCTAACCCCGGTCGATGGCAGATAAGGAAAACCCCCAACCATATGGGGTTTTCCAGGGCCATTGCTCCCTGAAACCTCTCTGAAGGGGCCAGGTTCTGGCACTGGTCCCTGGTAGGTCTGAACTCCATAGCTAATGTCCCGGTCTAACATAACATACATTAGCCCGATAAGCTTCAGGGAGCCACCGGGCTCACCCAGATAATGGCGTTGCATTACATTCAACGCTGGTTTTTTTTTAATGCTCTTATGGTAGAGGTAGTGTTCTATTGGTCTTTACTGTACAACACTGCAAGATGGGAGTTGTGTATTGATATGACAGAGCCATTTGGGGTGCCCTGCTTTTGCTCTCATAACAAGGCTTGTCGTCACAAATATTTAGCTGGCATGATTAAGGTCAGATAGCCACAAGCGTTATTCCTTACACATGCCCTAGAAAGTATGAAGCTTTAACGCCTGTTTTCTTTGCTATGTCATCAGCTGATTTCAAAGCGTGAGAGTTTGAGATCTAACTGAATGACAGCCTCTCATTACCTGCCTGACCTCCCTTGAAATTTTCACATTTGTGTTTCAATTGGGCAACTGTACCTTGCATGACATGATCCCTCTTAATCTCAATCTGGCTCAACTTTCTCCCTGGACTACTACTGCTATGGATTTTTAATATGATGGAAAGAGCAAGTTTTTTCTTACTAAAACTGTAATACTGTATACAACTAAAATTAAAAATATGTTTCAACTCTAAATTAACATTTGCTAGCAACCAACTGCAAAATATAAATACGGGTTAAAAAATAGTCAGGGATTAGATTTGGTTTTGTGCTAAGGCTCAAACATTTTCTATGTTCAATTTTTACTGATCATACAGTAAATACAAAAAAATTATATTTCCCAAAACAGTGTGTGTAAACAGTTGAGATAAGGAAGTTCTAACAAGTAGGCAGATATAATCAGTATGGCAGTTTGGTAATTCATGCCAAGCAGTTAGCTTCAATGGTTGTTTTGTATCATCAGTATATTTTGTTGGTGTCATTACATGCTAATCCTTTGTTGGCAGGCTAGATGAAAATGATATAGTGGGCACATGCACACGCAACAGGGATGCAGCTGCTGCTGTTAGTCGAAAAGATCTTGTTCAGGTTGGTAGTTTGGCATTTTAATTTTCAATATTGATGTTTATTACGCTACATGTACAGAAGTTTGTAAATCCACCAATATTGGGTGTGCATATTTTCCTTCCTGCTTAAACTTTCATGTTGTTGACCTGTAATTTTTTTGTAAATAGAGCACATTACTAGGAGAAAGTAGTTTAGCATATAACAGCATTTCTATGAAGCTGGAGCAAAACATATAGGCTCTACACGAATCAACCAGATTGACAAAGAGGAACTCCTGAAATCAGCAACTTCAAGAACAAGAGGACACAGATTCAAGCTAAGGAAACTAAGGCGCCGAAAAAATATTAAAAGTTTTCTTTTACCAACAGAGTGGTAGATGGTTGGAAGTAGTTAGGTGAGAAGGTGGTGGAGGCCAAAACAATCAGTAGTTTCAAAACGTTATATGACATAGCGTACTGGGAAGATGGGACACCACAAGCATAGCTTTTGTCCTGTAACTACACTTAGATAATTACAGACACACTCATTTCAGCTTTAGATGCCAGATATTGTTACAGTAACAGAGACAAAACCTTCACAGATGACATAAAAAAAGTGAAATACTGAGGTTACAGTACAGTGAAGGTTCAGTTCTCGGTGAACCTCTGAACACATTGAAAATCAATGATCCAAGTGAATTCTTTATGAATGTGACACAGGACATTGCCATTGAACCATATATCAGATGTCACCCTAACCACATTCTACTTTGAAGCAGCAATAGATAGCATGCTCATGCACTCTGCATCAGGCCCACCAGACTCCTGGAATTCAGTATTCATCAAGAATTGCAGAAAACCACTGTCATAGGCTCTAAACCTTGTTTGGAGACAGCCTAGATATTGGTGGTGTTATTCCTGTCATACTTAAAACAGGAGAGATCATGCTACTTCACGAAGGCGGTACTAAAACTGATTAAAAAAAATTATAGACCAAAAATTATAGGCTCTAATGTCACACATCACAAAAATCTTCAAAAATGTGCTAAAAAGTAAGATCACAAAACACATGGAATCACAGTGTCTACATAACCCTGAACAACATTGGTTCAGAATAGGGAGCTTTTCTCTCTCTCAGTTGCCAGACCACTATGATAATATAATATATGATAATATACTATTATCTATGATAATATACAATAATATACACATGGAAAATACTGGCGGGCCAGGTCCCAAATCTACACAGTAAAATAACAATGTACTTGAGTGAACGATATGGAAGAAAATGCAAGATTGAACCAGTGAAGAGCAGAGGTGCCATAGGCACAATCAGAGAACACTGTATAAACATCAGAGGTTGTTCAACGTCCTCCCAGCGACTATAAGAAATATTGCCGGAACAACCGTGGACATCTTCAAGAGAAAACTGGACTGTTTTCTAAGAGAAGTTCCGGATCAGCCAGGCTGTGGTGGGTATGTGGGCCTGCGGGCCGCTCCAAGCAACAGCCTGGTGGACCAAACTCTCATAAGTCGAGCCTGGCCTCGGGCCGGGCTTGGGGAGTAGAAGAACTCCCAGAATCCCATCAAGCAGGTTACCTTGGTACTTTTTCTCCTGCCCACCTTCATCACTCTCAGGACTTCATAGAAAGATTGCACCTGCAGCCCTCCTGTAACATATTTAGTCTTGATGTTGACTCTCTGTTTACTAATCTTCCCCCTGATGATGTTCTCTCTTTCCTTAGTCAGAAGGCGACTGAGGGCTTTCTTCATCTCCCGCTTCCCACTGACGTTTTCCTCGAAATCATCAGACTCTGTGTTGACTCTAACTCATTCTCTTTCAACGGTAAATACTTCTCTCAAACTTTCGGTGTCCCTATGGGATCCCCATCTTTACATGGAATACTTTGAAACCTTTCTTCTTCTTCCCACTATTGATACTCGTCCCTCTCCCTGGCTTCACTATGTTGATGACATTTTTGCTTTATTGCCTTATGACCTTAGTCTTTTCCAACCTTTCCTCTCCTCTCCTCTCTTAACAATCTGGCTCCTTCCATCCATTTCAAAGTTGAATGGAAATCTAATTCCCTCCTTCCTTTTCTTCACGTTCATGTTCACAGCTCTATGTCTGGGTTCTCTTTCTCTGTCTACCACAAACCCATGCATAGTGGTATGTACATTCACTTCTTTTTCTGCCATCCTCCTTATGTTAACAAGTGTTCTCATCTCTCTCTTCCTCTGTGCTCTATGCATCAGTGACCCTCAGTTTCTTGATTCTGAAATTTCCTATATCTGCAAATTTTTCTCTCTCCTTCGTTAACCTTTACATTTTATCAACTGTGCCTATTCTCAAACTAAATGAAATTTCTTTCATCCTAAACCTGCTTTCAACACTATTAGCACTGTGCTTTGGCTTCCCTTCATATCTGAACTCAAAACTTTTGCTTATATCCTTCGTCCTCTTGGCATAAAGCTCGCCTTTTGACAAACTAACACTCATCATACTAATCTGGTTCACAATTCTCCTCCTGCTTCTAATGCTGCTGGTGTCTACTCTATTTCATGTTCGTCTTGTTCTTTTCCAATACTTTTGGGAAACTGGCCGTACATTAAATGACAGACTTAAGGAACACAAAAGAAATGTTAAGTCTGCAGACACAAACAATGCTCTCTTTTGACATGTTAGGGATTCTAATCATCCTGTTGATTGGTCTTCTTCTAAAATAATCTTTCCTGCCTCTACTCTTCACAGACGCCATCTTGTCGACATGGCTCTGATACACAACCTACCCAACATGAACCTTAGTCCTGGCTTTGTTGTTGTTGACTCTTCCCTTTCACAGTATATACTCTAATGCTCTAAACTATCTTAACTAACGTGACTTAACATAAGTCTACCCTTCCTTTTTCTCTTTCTTTTCTTACGCTCCCATTCTTACTCCTATTATTACACCCTTTATTACACCTATCCCTTCTGTACCTTTCACCCTGTTCTTACCTTCCTCTAAGATTTCCTCCTCTTCACCGTTCTCTTGCCTTACTTATGCTCGTGCCTCCGTAATCTCATCACAATTGACTTGATAATGGTCCAGGACGGATCGAAACTTCATCGTCTCTTCATCTTCTGGTGTGTGGTTTGGTCAACACAGTGTATTGATATTAGAGGCTTCACTCATGTTATTCTTTGGTGTATATACCTGAATTTACCTGAGGGCCAAATGCTCTCAGGTAAATCATCTCAAGTGGCCTTGACATGGCTAGAAACTTGTTTTTGTGTTATTATTACTTGTAATTATAAGGTACTGTTATTAAATAGATATTTAAAATATTGTAAACCTTATTGTAGGTCTTTTCAGAGATGTATTATTGTACTGAATATGCAGATGTACTGTTCTTTTCTTCTGACATTACTATAGTTAATTTATAAAATACAAATTTATGACAGGTGTGGTCCCTAGCAGCAGCTACAGCTTCACTTGGTTCTGACTCGAGTACAAATGCATCAGATTACACGGACTCCCCTTGGACACATCACCCTTTTGCCCGCAAGCTTATCAACTCCATGTATGTTATAAACTAAAATTTAAACCTGCTTAAGAGTATTTCAATAGCTTATTTAGTTTAGCTGTTGTCTATCCTAATGCAGTACAGTGTCACGAAACTGTGATCATAATCTTGTTTATTACGATAACAGATTTTGTGAGGGCTTTCCTCTTTATCTTCCCAAGCTAAACACTGGAGACCTTTAAACCCAGGTACCAAACTAGGCTCTATCAAAACACAAACACCTCCCAGAGACCAGGACCAGGATCTGGTCTCCCTCAGGGCCATCAAGGCCCACCCAGAAAGAGAGATTTCATTGCATTCAATACTAGTGTTTTCCTTTTCAAAGCTTTGCAGATTTGTTGATGATTTATTTTGTATTCAGTAGGTAATAATATGGATATTTTTAACAGTCTGGATCACTACCTTACCCTGAATGATGTGCAGACTGCAACAATGCTTTGCTGTGTTTTTGGCACAAAGACAGAACCTCAGAATACAGCTTACATGCGGAAGGGCCGTACAGAGTCTAATAGTGTGAGTATTGTTGATAATTATGTAATGTGTTTATATATTAATTCAGTACTGTACTGGTATTTACATACAGTTTGTGCCCATTATATATTTATTTATTTATATATATATATATATATATATATATATATATATATATATATATATATATATATATATATATATATATATATATATATATATATATATATATATATACAGTGTATATATATATATATATATACAGTGTATATATATATATATATATATATGTTGTACCTAGTAGCCAGAATGCACTTCTCGGCCTACTATGCAAGGCCCGTTTTGCCTAATAAGCCAAGTTTTCCTGAATTATTATATTTTCTCTAATTTTTTTCTTATGAAATGATAAAGCTATCCATTTCATTATGTATGAGGTCAATTTTTTTTATTGGAGTTAAAATTAACGTAGATATATGACCGAACCTAACCAACCCTACCTAACCTAACCTAACCTATCTTTATAGGTTAGGTTAGGTTAGGTAGCCGAAAAAGTTAGGTTAGGTTAGGTTAGGTAGGTTAGGTAGTCGAAAAGCAATAAATTCATGAAAACTTGGCTTATTAGGCAAATCGGGCCCTGCATAGTAGGCTGAGAAGTGCGTTCTGGCTACTAGGTACGACATATATATATATATATATATATATATATATATATATGTCGTACCTAGTAGCCAGAATGCACTTCTCGGCCTACTATGCAAGCCCCGATTTGCCTAATAAGCCAAGTTTTCCTGAATTAATATATTTTCTCTAATTTTTTTCTTATGAAATGATAAAGCTACCCATTTCATTATGTATGAGGTCAATTTTTTTTTATTTGAGTTAAAATTAACGTAGATATATGACCGAACCTAACCAACCCTACCTAACCTAACCTAACCTATCTTTAAAGGTTAGGTTAGGTTAGGTAGCCGAAAAAGTTAGGTTAGGTTAGGTTAAGTAGGTTAGGTGGTCGAAAAATCATTAATTCATGAAAACTTGGCTTATTAGGCAAATCGGGCCTTGCATAGTAGGCTGAGAAGTGCATTCTGGCTACTAGGTACGACATATATATATATATATATATATATATATATATATATATATATATATATATATATATATATATATAAAATAATATTTTTATATATATATATATATATATATATATATATATATATATATATATATATATATATATATATATATATATATATATATATATATATATATATATATATATAAAATAATATTTTTATATATTTTTTCTTAATGTGCTTGAAATTGTTTTGTCTTTCTCTCTCTCTTGTTTATCAATATTTGCCTGAATTTACTTGAGGACCACTGTTACTTATGGCGGTGATGGGAGACAAAAAGCTGGTAGCTTCTTAAAGATCACCCAATTATTCCTAAGGACTTTTTCAGGCTTAATTTTGAACTGGAGTACTGTCCTAGCATTTAAATCTTCAGTTTGTATGCAGTTCTGGGGTTAATTACCCTATGGATGAAAAGCATCTTCTGTTTTCTGAACTACGATGTGGTTTGTTGAGCTTGAAGCCATTGCTTCTGTGTATGTTACTTTGATTGTTCATGGTTTCCATGTAAGGATATGATTTTTGTTTAATTAGACCAAAATCTGTTAATTAGTAACATTCATTTATGGCTGCTGCCTCAGCGTGAGAAACAGATAATTAGTTTTAAGTGGTGGAAGGTTATGAACAGAGTAGTAAAGTAGTCAGACAAATTTGCTTACTCTAGTGTTAGTGTGGTGCTCTCACAAAGTCATGTTGGATGTTACTGCATGCCCCATCTCCCATCCCCCCAATCTGCAAGCAGCTCAGAGGGTTTGTATGTACTCTCACACACTATACTCCTTATTTCACAAGAATTATTGTGTGTAATATTGTAAATCAAATGTATTCTCTCTTATTAGAAGTCACTACTTTATTTTATTATGGTACGATTATTTACAAACAATATAACTGATTTTTGTATTTCTTATGTAACTAATTTATTTATTTTTGTTTTAAAATGTTTTACGTTTGAAAGAGTCGTACATTATGGTTATAAATGTTCCATTGAAAATCTAAATACTGTTTGTACAAGTAGCTAATTTAAACTTGACAGGCATCTATTGAGAGCAGAGGTAACCATCATAAGAACAACTACAGTACTTTAGTCAACCGAGCATATGTGTCAACCGAACATTTTCAAAGTGGCCTATGCAGGTCTGGCTTGACAAGGATAATATGCATGAGATCACACTATAAAGCACAAGAGAAACCAAAGCCAAAGAAAATTGCTATATAAATTTATATTTAATCACTGCACTGCGCCAAACAACAAATGTTGTTTTGAGAGTTGTGCATTTTTTTTTTACTTAGGCTATATTCTATTTTTTTATTAATGTTTTATCGCTCTTTGTGTATTGAAATGAAAATAGTTGAGTTTGGAAACATTTTGACATTAACTTTACCTGACCATTTATAAAAACAACAAAAATGTTGTCACTTTACAATTGCACTATGAAGTTTTGCCAAAAACAGGTGCGCAGTGCAGGGGTTAAAAGATGTAACTGAAGTGACATAATGGTGTTTTTATCGTATCTAAGTTACATGTTTGCTTAATTTCTGATGGGTGTTATGCAGACTGGAGAGTAAACAATATGGTAATAAATAGTCAAGTCTCTGCAATTGTTATTATCTCAAGGGGGAGGGGGGTGAAAATCCCCTTATGGCCTCCTGAAGCTATCTTGCTGATATAGCATCCTCAAGCTGTCTCATTGAGATGGCTCCCAACTAGTAGGTCACATTAGATATGGAGTTCTTTTTGGCCTACTGGGGACCAGCACCAGAGTCTGGCCCACAGAGGAGCAGAGAGCAGGTGGCACTGTACTACTCTACTGGGAATGCATCCAGAAAGTCAGTAAAACAATTCAGACCACTGCTGGGTTCAAAGATACCAAAGCTTCAAAACTGCCAAATGAACTCCCGCAACAATGTAAACAAATGTTTGAATCATTCGAAACAAGTGGAGCTTGTTAGCATTAACCCCCTTCCCTCTCCACCATGGGGTAAGGTCCCAGAGCTCTCAGTGCCCACTGTACTTTGAAGCCAGTTCTGTTGTTGATTAGTAACTGTTGTTGTTGATACAGATTAGAATAAATTTCACTGTTGGGCTCCCAGGTCATCAGCACACCATGGCAGGTCCTGCTGTTTCTCGGCTAAGTGCTGGCCATCCTTTGACGTTTTCCTGCAGGGAGCCATTTGTTTCGCATTGTTTTGATTTGATTTTGATTTCACGATTGAGTGGACCTGGCTATAGTTCATTTGGAACTGCATGTAATTACCTAAGTGTAATTACCTAAGTGTAGTTATAGGGTTACAGGATGAGAGCTACGCTCGTGGTGTCCCGTCTACCCAGCACTCTTTGTCATATAACACTTTGAAATTACTGACGGTTTTGGCCTCCACCACCTTCTCACCTAACTTGTTCCAACCGTCTACCACTCTGTTTACAAAAGTGAATTTTCTTATATTTCTCCGGCAGCTTTGTTTCGTTAGTTTAAATCTATGACCTCTTGTTGTGCCTTTTTATTTTTTATTTTATTATTTTATTATTTTGTAATTTTTTTTTGGAGAGCTCCTTTGGGCAGAACATGGAGCCCCTTGGTGCTCCCTGATGCTACATTGCTGATATAGTGCCAAACTACTAGAAGTCATCAGTTGCAGAGTTCTTTTAGGCCTACAGGGCACCACGAGCCTGAACCTGCCCCCCCCCCCTCCCTAAAGTGTCACAAAGAGCAGTCGCACAATGCTGAAGTTGTCAGTGAATTTTAATCATGTCCCCCACCACTGGGGGGAAGCACCCACAAAGTCAGCCAGACAAAACAGACCACTTTTGGTTATAAGGAAATCTTGATACAGTCCATCAAACTTGCTAAAAGAACTCCCCCAACAATGTAAACTAAAGATCGAAAAGTTATGAAACTAGCGCAAGCTCCTTCGCCTCCACCTTCCCTCCCTCCCTTGCTTGGGGGAAGGAGGGATGCAAACCAGGTCAGCCAGCTGCTCCACCCTCAGTTATTGCTGATGGTAGACTGTGTCAGGCACAATTTTTTGCTCTGGCTTCCATGTTCTGCTTCTGCTAAGTGGTGGATTTTGCCTTTGAGGCTGTTCTAATTCACGTTTATGCTGTGTGAGCCAGGAGTATAGAGGGCTTGGACCTGCATGTGCACAGGGTTTTCCTCCCTGTGTGCTCCCTATTACTGCTGTAGTGCTACCAGGGGTCCCTCTTACCTGGAATGTTCAGGGTATATTGCCTTAGAGGGCTTCCTTGCTTGTGGTGGTAAGCCCTGGGTTAGTCCATTTGTTTCTGGCTTTGTGTTCCTTGGGGTTGGGAGCGAGTTTTGGCTGGGTGGAATTCATGCGACCTAATCTTGGCATGCCGATGTTGGCTTTCTCAGTCTCTGGTGAGCTTAGTTGGTCTGTTTATATCCATTTTAGGGTCTGTCTGATTCTTTCCTTCCTCAGTATTATCCTTTGTAGGTGATACTAGAATTTTAATGAAAGTAAACAATATAGAGCACAAAGCAAACCTCCAATCTAATGTTAATTGAGTCTTTTGATGGGCCACAGAAAATAACATGACCAATGAACTGCGCTGCATTATACATAATATGATTCTCTTCCCCCCCTACCCGGGGTGGTGTGCCAGAAAAAAATTGTTTCCAAGAAATTATTTTCTCTTTTTATATAGTGTTAAAATGTGGTCTCTGATCATGGAAAACTAAACTAAAATATTGTATGTAACATACTTTAGCTATGATGGAGCTGAGAAGGTGAGCAATTTATGGGCACTGAGTGAGCACCATAATGAACCACAAAGATTGTGTGTTATGAGTTTATATACACAGAACAAGAATCTAAGGTCAGCCCAGCAGCTGACTGTGAGTGTGGCAAGAGCTGCCCCAAATACATTTTTACATAATTATTTCAGTGTCTGTG